TATTTGGCATAATAAAGGCTAGTTATGTTTAGAATTGAAATGCATTGCTAACTTTAAAAAACACGTATTAGTATTTGGCATAATAAAGGCTAGTTATGTTTAGAATTGGGGACAGAATAGAATTTAATTTTGGAGATTGCAGAGGTGATGCGAAATTGTTCCTAACGCTCAAGTGTTTGGTGCTGGGAGCTCCTGGATGAACACCTTTGTCAAGGATTTGACATGATCACTGACTTCAACTTTGTCAGGTCTTTTCAGTAGCACAGCTTTGCCCCACTGCTTACTTCATTTCTGCTTTCCAGCCTTCTGGGCCCTGACCTTGTTGGGGAAGAGCAGTATTATTTTAGAATTGAATTTGTATTTTACCCATCATAACAGAGTAGATAAACATTTGAATAATAGAATATATATGTACGATATTTGTCCTTTATTCTATGGAAAGACCCCTTGATGTGTCTACATATGCCTACAGGAGTAGACAGAATGATACAGTGACTGTTTCCCATCACTCGGCCTCAGAACCAGTGCTCCATCCACACCCTGTTTACTCCTCTTCTCTTCCTGTCCACATCATTTTGAAACGAATTGTAGACATCATATTATTTCTTCCATAAAAATTTTATTACATATCTTTAGAGAGAAGGACTCTTGGGGACAGCAGGTGGTGTGGTGGTTAAGGTGCTGGTTTCCCACATGGCTGACTGTGGTTCGAATCCTGGATCTGGTGGCTTGCCTTCTCACTTTCTGTCTCTCTCCAGAAAAAAACTAAAAAATAGTAATAGTAAAATAAATAAAATAATTCTTTTAAAAAATAACTCTTTTTATCATAAATAATGTGATTATTAACATAAAATGTGATGATTTATTGATATGATATCTACTATTATTACTTGATACTTTTATTTGATTGAGTCTGTATCCATTTAAGATGCATATGTTGTGATTGGTTATACTTAGGTCTCTTCTAACCTATAGGCTCTTGCTCTATCATTTTTCTTTCTTTTAATGTATTTGTTGAAGAACTGGGTTGTTTTGTAAACTTCCTGTCAGTCTGAATTTTGACTAATTTCATCTTTGCAATTCAGTGTAACACACTCTATTCTGTTTCCCTTTCTGAGCTCAAACCAGGTTCATTTGCATAAGTCAGACTACGGACTCGAGATGTGGTGAGAGAAGGTGTGGCTTTATTGCCATGTGCAAAGCAAGGAGAGCAGGCAGTTCATGCTGGAAAAACCTGGTCTCCCTGAGGAGTTCCCCACACACATTTTTATGGGCAAAATTAAGGATCGGGGGAGGGTCTCAGAGAGAGCCCCAAAGCTGAGAGGGCTTCCCTAAAATGCTTACTGATTCCAAAGAACATACCCGGAGACCCAGCAGGGTACGGCATGAATTTACTTTCATCGGAAAGGATGCACTGCTGAGTTGGGTGGAGAGTGGTCTGTGGCACCACGGGCATAGGCTTGGGTTATGCGTGTTAAGATGAAGGAAGACGCACGTCACCTATACGTTCAGCATGGACTCTCTATCTCCAAGGCAGGGGTCTGGTTCCTTCATACATTGTTTGAGGCTTACAATAAAAGGACAAGTTAGCGAGAGTCTCCAGAGCTTGTACATTAACAGTGCCTTGGGATGTTCATGTGGGGAGGGACTCATACCTCTGGAACAGCCCCAGTGGTGATCCAGTTCCATGTGGTAAGGAAGAGGTCACCAGACATTCAGGAGGCCCAGCCAGACCAACAGCTGAGTCTCAGGGAGATAGGGCAAAGGGGGAGGGGAGAGGAGAGTGCAATCTACAGAGCTTGTCCTTGACTGGGGAAGCCCCGGATCTGAGAGGGCTTGCCCATGGTGGTTACCAATTCCAGAGAACATGCTAGAGGTCCAGCAGAGTAGGACTTGCATTTATTTACTTATATTAGCGGGACCTGGTATTCCACTGGTGGCCAGGCTGAGCATGGGCGGTGCTGTCATTGTGCACAGGCGTAGGTTAAAAGTGTTAAGAAGAAAGCATTTATAAATCGATTGAAGATCAGTGCAGATTCTGTCAGAGAATCTGGTTTGTACATACCTTATTTAAAGTTTACAATCAAAGGTTAGTTTATCTGTTGACAGAATCAGAATCTGTCTCTCTGTCTCTCTGTCTGGCGAGCATACGCGCCCTAGCAAAAACCTCTCCTAAATAAATAAATAAATAAATAAATAAATAAATAAAATTATTTGGCTGAAGTGCCAAAGCTGAATATCAATTCCAATCATAGACTGAGGTTGTAGATGCATAAATAAATCTAAAAGGTAAAATTTATTATAAATTTAAAAGATCATTGGTCAGATTTTTTTCCTATTGGGCATTATAGTTCCAGAACAGTAATTTCTTTTTTTTTGGAGAGTTTTTGCTATAGGGCACGTGCGCTAGCCAGACAGAGAGAGACATAGAGACAGAAAGCGAGAAATCACCCCCCAGAGGGGATGGTCACGCCGCAATCCCTTCTCCATTCTCCTCTCGGGATCTTGGGCACGCACGCACACGCACCTGGTGTGAGTTTTAAGCCACTGGGTCTGGGACGCGAACCACGGTCAACTATGTGGGAGTCCAGCAACATAGCCATTACGCTAACTGCTGGTTCCCCAGAACAGTAATTTCTTAACCTTGCTAGGTGTTAGACAGCTCTTGGGTCTTTGTCGTGTAGATCTGCAGCATTGAATGGATGTTTGTTTTCAGGTGAGTTCAGTGACTCATCAAAATCTTGATGGAGTCTCATTTTTCTCCAACAGTCCTTTTCGTACTCTCTGGTCTCTATTGTATTTTCTTTTCTTCCTTATAGAATCCTGGCATGCCAAATTGGTGTCATACTCTATTCATTTTTACTAGGTGTGAAGGATTTCCTTCTATATAGGACTATTTCTTAAAATATTCCTGACTAAAAGTGGAATTAAATAACTGAAAAGAAAAGCAGTTCTTCACAATCACTCCTTTGATGTTGTGATACCACTACACCAAACCACATAGATTAGAATTATGTTATAATTCAATCTCCATTATTCTGCTTATATTTATTAACTTTTTTGGTAAATAATTGTTGAGCTAAAAAAGTACATGCTCTTCCTAAAGTTATTCAATTAACTTGTCTTCTTATTAATGTATTGTCTATTTTCTATTTTACATTTAGAAATTCTTAATTGTTTTTATTTATGTAATTGATAATATCCATAATCATCATTATAACAGTATTTCACTCTTTTTTTTTTTTTTTTTTTGAGAGGTTTTCGCTGTAGGGTGCGTGTACTCGCCAGAAAGACAGAGAGACAGAAAGCGAGAAATCACCCCCTGGTGGGGATGGCCATGCCGCAATCCCCTCTCCTCCATTCTCCTCTTGGGATCTTGGGCACGCACACACACGCGCCCGGTGTAAGTTTAAGCCACCGGGTTGAGACTTGAACCGCGGTTGACTACATGGAAGTCTAGCAACATAGCCATTACGCCAACTGCTGGCCCCAACAGTATTTCACTTTTGTTGTAAGTCATCTCACTGACTTCCCTAAGTGCTAGTATGAAGGAGGGGTTAATTTTCTGGGGGATCTCCTCAACCTCTACACTAGTGGCATTTTCACTGGACAATTCTTTGTTGTGTGTGTGGGGTATCTTGTGTATTATAGGATATTTAGCTGGATTTCTGACCTCTTTACCAGACATCAATAGCAAATCTCCCCACCGAAGTGGGATAATTGAAAAATGTCTCCAGATATTGCCAAATGAACCTTCTGGGCAAAATCATCCAGGATGAAAATCATCACTACTCTGAAAACTTAGAATTTTCCTGTAGTTGTTTATCCTTTTTATTCAACAAAGAGCCATCTGTGGGTTGTTTCAATTTTTGCTTGGCCTGGGTCTAAATGCCAAGCTTACTTTCTCTCCATCTGCTAAAGCCTGAAGTAGGTAGAGAGTTCTACTTTATTAAATAGTCTCATTAGTCTACATTTGGCCTACTCTTCCTACCTACTGTCCTAAGCTCGGGAGTTTGCAGGGAATCTGAATCCCATCTTCTTACTCTCTTGGAGGCTGTAGGCTGTGGCCTCTGCTGCCTCTGTCTGTCAACATGCTTCCATCCATTTTATGGTTTCCAGGAACAGGTGCAAACCTCTAGTCCATTGATAATCTTTCTTCCTATTCTGTTACTGTTGGCTTATTTCCTTTTGTTTTCTTTGCTGTCATGGGCATTTGTCTGTCATGAGATAGAGGATGTGAAGCAGATGCTTACACCTGTTATCTGCCTGGAAGCTGCCCAATTATTTTTAAATGAAAATCTTGGGAGAAGACTTGTGTTTTAGTACACTCAACACATACACGTTAGTGTCACGCTCTGACTTTTTCCCATTTACTCGCATCCTTTCTTTCCTAGGGCTCATTATCCTGGGACCTATTCAGTAAGAGATGCAAAGTTGACTGGGAAGAAGCTTTGGTCATCTGAAGATTTTAGCACTTTAAATAGTGACGTGGGTGCAGGCTGCTGGGGTCGCATATTGAATCAGAATTACATCAATGGCTATATGACTTCGTAAGTTATTACAGATGTTTTAGAGATTTTATCACGAAAATTTAAGAATACACAGAAATAAAAAAAAAAGTACAATGGACTTCTTATTCTCACAACCTAGATTCAACCTCGATTCAATGAGTGAAAACATTTTGCCTTCTTAACTTCATCTATATCTATATTTAATATAGCTGATTTTATCTACTGCTTTCTGTATTTGAATATAGTCTATGTGAACAAAGTCATGTTTATTGAAGTATAATTTATACAGTAAAATTTATGCAGTTCTAAAATTTTTGACAAGCTACTTATTGAACAGTTATAAAGTAAGTTACTTTATATGCCATGACACTTAATCCTTAAATATTTTAGCATGTGTCTTTAAAACGTCAGGATGTTCCTAAATGATCACAATATCATTTTCACACATAATAGAATTTTAAACTAAAATATTACCACTACTCAGTCTATGTTCACATTTCCCTAATTGTTTCCCAGAATAGCTTTTTTTTTCCTTTTTTTTTTTCCTCTCTCTCTCTCTCTCTTTTTTTTTTTTCTGGTCACAGGACACATGTGCTCACTGGAGAGAGACAGAGAGAGGGAAAGTGAGAAATTGCTCCCTGTAGGGTGGATGGCCATGCCACAATACCTTTTCCTCCATTCTCTTCTTGGGATTTTGGGCATGCATGCTTGCATGCATATGCATGCCTAGAGTGTTTCTCAAGCTGCCATGTCTGGACTCAACACACAGTCAACCATGGGACATCCAGGTACTTTAACCACCATACCACTGACTGACTGGCCCTAAAGGAAGCATTTTATATGCTTTCTGCTCACTTCAGTTGCATTTAGATTCAAATTAGCTCTCTAAAGTTATGTTAAATAGAATTATGTTAAATAGAATTAAAGCAAACATATATGTATATTGTTATAAAAATAATATATATTTCATATATATATATAGAGAGAGAGAGAGAGAAAGGATATATATATATATATATGTGTGTGTGTGTGTGTGTGTGCCTACAATCCCAAGAGGAGTTCTTTTTAAAAGAACAGATGCCTATCATGGAGAGTTCGGTTGTAATAACTTAATTTGGTATTAAAGGTAATTCATGTTCATGGCAGAGAATTTAGAAATGATAGATAACTACAAAGAAAGAAACCAAATCATTCATAATCTTAACCATCCCAAAATAACTATCCTTAAAAATTTTGATGTATGTCCTCTTTGTAACTACAACTGTACATATTTCCCTCCTGTATGTGTTTGTGCACATCATGTGATGTTTTAGACAGGGTTTCCCTTTGTCACGATCCTCCTGCCTCAGCCTCCCAATTAGTTGGGACTGCAAGCACATGCCACCATGTCCAGCATTTTATGGTAGACTCACAGTTAAACTCTGGCTTCCCATGTGGCCTCAGCCTGCCAAGAAACAATGTCCAACATGTGCTACCACGGCTGGGCCTGTGTACGTTTTTAATATGTAACTGAGAGCATACCGTATAATGTGTTTAGTAAGCTGCTTTTCTCATGACATGGCATTTTGAACTTTTATATTTTCAGTATATTTCTACTTCATCATTTTTAGTACTTTTGTGTATTCTGTTACATAAACAATATTTTCCAATCTTGTCTTAAGTTCCTGAGACACTTGCTGTACTGATTCTTTGGCATCTGATTAGACCACTGAATCCAGGTCTATAGGGAAGGCTCTTGGGACTATGCCAGTGCCCCCAAGTGATTCTGATGCCACACAAATTTGAGACACACTGATACAGAAAATATGTTAGACTTCACTAACTATTACCCTCTCTTGAGAAATAGAAGTTGTTTCTATTTTAACTAGTAGCTTCGTACAAACTAAAATGATCGATTGGGGGGAGGGCTTCAAAAATTTTATGAAAATGCATATTATTGAAAAACTATGCATGGATTTCAAGTTTTCTAATTCGATTTCTTTTTTCTTTCGAGACAGAGAAATTTTTGCTAATAGAGTGTGTGCACTCTCCGGAGAGACAGAGACAAAAAGTGAGAAATCACTCTCTGGAGGGATGCCCATGCAGTAATCCCTTCTTCTTCATTCTTCTCTTAGGATTTTGGGCACGCATGCACATACACCCAGCTTGAGTTTAAGGTATCCGGTTTGGGACTTGAATCATGGTTGACTACGTGGGAGTCCAGCCATGCAACCATTACGCCATCTGCTGGTCCCTCTAATTCCATTTTTTAAATGAGTTTTTTGAAGTTCCTTATATACCAGTATCTATATATACATCTGTGGTTATTTTCCTCAGGATGTTTTCTTATAAATGGATTGTCTGGGTCAGAGGTATATGAATTTTGAAGACTTCTGCACATATTTTACAAAACATCCTCTTGAAAGTTTGTCTGAATGTATACTTTGTCACTAGCCAGGGAGAATGCTAGTCTTGTAAACATGGGCAAAAATCAAGATAACTTTACAATGTTCATTGGTAGCAGGGTTTTTGAAAATTTAGAGTATTTGTTCTATTTTGTGTTTAGAGAGGTAGAAAGCCTTGATTTGCTAAGAATGCCAGTTTGGCTTTTTATGATGGCTGGGGGGCTTGATAAGAAAAACAAATTCTGTGGGTAAGCACTGTTTTATTTTTAGCTGTGAGGAAGCCAGCGGTACTGGGTTGGAGAACGACCCTTTGCCCTTGGATTCTTTGAGAACCACAGAGTCCCAATCTTAGGGTTCAACCCCTGCTGTGGACTATTAGGGCCTACACATCCGAGAGAGCAGACCGAAAAGTAGACTGGCAAGCTGATCCAGCTGTTATCTGTAGATGAAGCAGAATAATAGCAGTATTAGGGTCCAGACCTTGTTCTGTACTTTTCATATGCATTAGTACATTTAATCCTCACAACCACCATGTGCACTGGGTACAATTATCATCATTGTACAGACAAGGAAGCTGAGACCCAGAGAGGTTAAGTGGTGCAACCATGATTTGAACTCAGGCAGTCTGATTCTAAGGGTTCTCAATTGTAATACTTTGGGACATTTCAGAGTTCATAACAATTATGTCATGAAACTGGGGCATTAAGAAGACTGGCTATCACAAGGAAAGCAGGTATGGGTAGAGCCAGTATTAGTATTTGTCTCAACTTTGTAACCTGTCTGGTATGGGTAGGGTGTGATTGTGGCTGTGCCATTGTTCAGGACAAAATTTACACAGCCCATGCCCATACACATTTACATATTTTTATTATATGATTCACCAATGAAAAATACTTAGCTGCATGCAACACTGGAATTTTCAAAATGCGAATAAATTTAGGAAACTTGCATTTTCTTGTTTTGGGTGGTCATTTCATGGTCATTTACCTATCCATATGTAACTATAAGATCTTTTTACTCTAGGCTTTTAAACATTTATGTTTTTATCACAAGTTGTTTTGGTGTTTCTCTTTTTGATAAAATCTTTTAGCACAATTGCTTGGAATTTGGTGGCTAGCTACTACGAACAGCTGCCTTATGGTCGATGTGGATTGCTGACTGCCCAGGAGCCATGGAGTGGACACTATGTGGTAGAATCTCCTATCTGGGTATCAGGTATGGCTTCATTCCAACTCTAAATTCCTCTCTAAGAGACGAGGCAGAAAACGTTTAGAGAAGATTATTTGAACTCTGTGTGTGTGTGTGTGCATGTTTTAAGTGTGTGTTTCTGTTTTAAACAAGATTTGTCAGTGTTTTATAAGAATATTCTGGGTAACTGGACTACTTTTTATATACTATTCTTGCTTATTATACAACCAGGCTCCTAGAAGAGATTTTTGGGGAAGAAAGGAGGGGAAGAAGGAAAAAGAGAGCTTTCTAGTGATGGAACAGTAATAATCATCTAAGTATATGATTAAAAATTATGCTAGTCACTATAAAATGATGTATTTGTAGTGACTCATTCCAACACCAGTATCTAAAAGTCTTAAAATTAGTCTTGGTGCCACATTATTTTTTATATTAATACAGTTTCCTTGATTGAATACAGTGTGGTAACAAAAATCAAAGGTGGCTGATTAATGAATGTTAGTTGATTAACAAATACTCTATTGAATTTTTAAAGAATAAGTAAATATAAAATGTATGGAAAATATCATGGCTTTAGATTATTCTTTAAATCTATTGATGTGCTAAAAGGTCATTTTCAGAAAAAGGTAAAATCATGATTCTTATGTAGATTTAAAAAATGAGCACATGCTGAAGGTTTTATGTTACTCAGGTGATATGAGGGCACCCAGCAAATTTTAGAAATAGTTCAAAGAAAAGGTCAACACAGCACAAAGTTTTGCAGATGGAGTAATGGACTTTGAGATGATTTGGAAATGGAGACAAATTGGGTTTTCACAACAGAGTTCTCTACCTAAGATCCCTACCAGAGAAGACATAATTTACCTCACTCAGAGACGATGAATAAGGCCGTCTGTAGCACATATCCATTTTCACTGAAACAAAGCGTTTTCTATAGTATCATTTATTAGACACAGGGGAAGGTGAAATCATGTAGACAATTAATGTCATGGTATCACTTTTTCACTGAAGGGATTTAACTAGAGTAGTAATATAATTTAAGCAAAACCAAAAAATCAGTTACTAATAGTATTTAAATTTTTTTTACTTTTTAAAATAAAATAAACATTTATGACCATTTTGTTTTATAATTATAACTATATACATGTGTGTGTGTGTTTATGCATATATATATA